TGCTGGGAAGACAGTTTACTCCCATTCTATCAGAAATAGCCTTTAAGTATTAAACCAAAGGAGAGGGCATCGCAAGGCATACCCCTCTGTAAAAGGTATGAGAGTCAGACTCATACCCGTTATATAAAACTAGTTGCTCCGCGTCGTACATCATTACGCAAGTGATCCTGCTAGTCAATTGAGCTCAATTGCGCAAAAAACAATCAAAACCGTCAAATATACAAAAGGACAACGTGACTTTTCATCTGTGAATACTTTTAACATAATATTATCGTTACAACAAAATATTCAGCTCAATCCCAACACGACTCTGAATATATTATAATTTAATATAATCGATAACTAGTCTTTATCAAAATATTATACAAAATAAAAGCCAAATAAGTCGAACCGAATCTTGCTAGCAAATTTATGCAATTTTTGTAAAATTAACTGGTATCACTGCAATCGAAAGTACTGCATTTATTTAGATTTTGTAACAAAGTATTACAAAAAGTAGTAATTTTTTATATTATTGATAATATAAAAAATTAAAGTAGTAATTTTTTATATGATCATTTACTGAATAAACTATAATTAAAATAGTTTATTCAGTAAATGATCATACATAATCTATTACCGGGGATGGGGTCTCCATTTAAGTATAAAAACTTGTATTAGAAGACTCCACTCTCCCATTAATATTTGCATGATCGTTACATAATAATTGAGTATAAAAATTAAAATAAAAAACCAATAATATTCACGCCAAAGGTATAAATAAAATAGCAGCAGTGTGTGTGTGTGTGTGTGTGTGTGTGTGTGTGTGTGTGTGTGTGTGTGTGTGTGTGTGTATATGTGTGTGTGTGTGTGTGTGTGTGTGTGTGTGTGTGTGTGTGTGTGTGTGTTCGTGTGCGTGTGTGCGTGTGTGCGCGTGCGTGTGATGTGATGAGCCTCAGTATCATCACTTATGAAATAGCTATTTGGTTAGAACATATTCTATACCCTTAAACGATTTCATAAAATTTAGTGTTCGGAGGTCGGGGGGAGAGGGTTAATCGTACTAGTCCTGTCTTCGGTTCGATTTTTCCTTTTTTTTCAAGTTCCCTTCTTTTGTGAGAAAATTTATTATTTCGAATCCTTTTTTTGTATTTTTTTAAAAACACGAAAATTTAAATTAAACTAATTGCACTCATGATTTTTAATTCAAATAACCAGTTCAGTTTTTTCTATTATGCCGGTAAGATCAAAAAATATTATTCATATTTCATCAGTATGTAAGTTGTATCTAAATATAATTTCCAAAACACACGATTTCCAAAAAGCATACCGAGCAACGCTCGGTCATCCAGGTACTTTGCAATTATGATAGTTAAGTTGATGATTGAAGGAAGGACGACACACTGGCCCATACCGTATAGCAGAAAGCCGACCGGCTAGGCTCTTTCTTTGCGTCCAACTCGACTCTCGATGACGTGACGGGGAGCACGCCACTGAGCATCCCGCGGTGTGAGTGCTCCATGCCGGGGGCGCGGTTCACACAGCGCTCGATTCGCAAAGCACTCCTCTCCGCGCACATCTACAAGTCGAGTGGGCCTGACGGGATCCCCCCAATTGCGCTGAGGATCTGTGCTTTAGAGTTGGTACCGGTTCTAACGCGTCTTTTCCGGTACTCCTACTCCCTAGGCGTAGTCCCGAAATCGTGGAAGACGGCTTTCGTCCACCCGAACCCTAAAAAAGGCGACCGCAAAGATCCGTCAAACTACAGGCCTTCCGCCATCACCTCCTTGTTCTCCAAAACAATGGAATCCATTATAAACTGCCAGCTCATGCGGTACCATGAGGATCATCAGCTGATCAGTGACCACCAATACAGTTTTTGTCGGGGTCGATCAGCTGGTGATTTTCTAGTCTACCTGACTCATCGAAGGGAGGAGGCAGTAGAGTCCAAGGAGGGAGGCATTGGCCGTTAGTTTGAACATTGCGAAGGCCTTCGATCGGGTTTATCACAAAGCGGTTCTTTCGAAGCTCCCTTCCTATGGGCTTCCCAAAAAATTGTGTAATTGAATCAACAGCTTTCTTGCAGATCGGAGCATCAAAGTCATTGCAGGCGGTGCATGGTACTGAAAGTAGCCACTGTACTGATATGTACGAATTTAGTATTGCCATTCTTTCATAATTTTACTGTCGAAAGTATATTTTATTTATGGGTTAAATCTTCTTGTATATTGTTATGTTTTTGAGGTAGGGGAAGATTGTTACACTTCGTACGCGGAGCACATTCATACAGTCGAAATAAAACTTGAACGAAACAACTAATGGTGGTTAATATAGCGCATAGCGCCAAATTATAGCGCACTATCTCTCCCTAGTTATGTAAGTAGTAGCCATAGCGCTATGGCGCTTTGGCGCTATTGAGTATTATTATCTAGCGGCAACTAGTTCTAGCAGCAGCGCTGTTGGGAGAGGACGTGTGACGCAAATTTGATCTAGTAGCACGATATTCATCGCGCGCGACCTAATTTAGTGTTAAACGTTGTTTGGTTAGTGTATACTGTATTATAAGTGATCGAAGGACACAATTGTCTGCTACAAAAATAAGCCTAACTAATGTTTTTAAATGTAAATAAAATACAGATACAAGTGTTTATAATAGTGTATGTAAATAGTTCATATTTGTGTATACAATCAATAAACTTTGAAATACACCTTTAATTTATTTATAATTTATATTAAGATAAAAATAACCTTTACATCGAATATAGTAAAACATAATTTATTTTATTTCGTTTTAAAAATGTGCATGTGCATGCCTTTAAAATATATAGGATAATAGAAATTCGTAAGCCTGAAAATTATGAAAGAGAGTTCATTGGTTTTTCTTTATCGTTTTATTTTATTATAGTGTAAAATGCGACTTACTTACGAAATAATGTTCCTATATAGTATGCGGTCTATCCAACGAACGACATGTAATGTAACGTGCTACGAGATATAGCGTGTTGCAAAACTCAAGGCGCTTACCCGCGCTTTCTTATAAATAGCGCGCTAGAAATTTATAGTTTATAGTCTATATCGTGCTAACGACTATAGTCGTTTTTAACAACTTTAGAAACAACGTACGATCTTTTTTTGTATGTGTGCGTGAGTCGAGATACCAACTTTAAGTCAACATAGTATCGCGCCAACGCTAGTACTGGGTCGTTTCAGGTTTTTTGTAAAACGAAACGAAACCGTTTTTTTGAAATGAGAAACAGTTCTGAGAAACAGTTTAAAAAAACAGTTTTACAAAAAAAACCGCCAGTGTACGTAACGACTTCAACATATGTTTGTTTACAAAATAATAAAGCGAACCTCCCTTCATACTTTTTCCAGGCTTAGGACTGGCTGATAAATGTTACGGGCATATTTAAAAGTTCATTTTATATACACGTTTTCATTATTTACACTATTTAAAATATTAGAACAAAAGATATTTACAAATTAAGTCGGTTTTATCGGTATATTACAAAACTATTAAACAATTAATGTATATATGACACAAAACACTTTTCGCGTGTAAACATAAAGTCGGTGAGAGTGAATTGACAGTAGGGATGCTCGATGTTACAGAAACATCGATGATGACATCGATGTTGATATCGATAGCTTAACATCGATGTTCGATGTTTATCCTGCTCAAAACATCGATGTTGGCCATTATCGATGTTATAGCACATGTACCTATTTAGTAGGTTAAAATTAGATGAACAAAAAATTAGTAGTGTTGTTTATGGTTTATTATTAATGAAATTAAAGAAATTAATAAAACATTTAGTGTGAAACAGTAATTTGAAAAATGGGAAAAAGCCGACAAATACTTAGTTAATTTGTTATATTTTTTGCCAATAATGATGATTATTATTTTGATATTTAAAGTTCCTATACAAATTTAAATCTGGTATTAAAAAATTTACTATCCTAATTTACGATTTAGACGTAGGTCTTATATTAACTACTATCGCGAAATAAAAAAAATGATTATAGAGGGAAAATTAACAAACCTCACAAAAACAAAATAATTGACTTTTCCGTCGCCTTTGTTCACACAATTTTTAATCAGGCAGCCCAAGCAGTAAGTATCCACAGCACTGTAGAATGCACTATGCAGTGAAATTGTCTATGCTTACGATAGAACAGTGATTTATTTTCGTAAACTTCAAGCAAACAATAAACTTGTTATCTGAAGCTCAAAAACAGCTAAATATAATTATATTAGTGTAGATACATGTTGTTTCAAAATGATGTGTGTATAGACAATAAGGGAAAAAACAATTAATTTGAATATCAATTTATGTAGAATAGTTATTAGGCGACAACCGACAACGACAGCACAATAACAAAGCGAAAGCAGTTACAACTGAGACATTACAGTTCACACTTGACAGCGTTTAGGAATCCTTAATTATTAAAAATTTTAAACCTTTTATAGGAGATAAAATATTTAGTTGATATTGATTTCGCGTGTTCGCATTGTTTACAAGTTCTTATTAATCGATTATTGGTTCATTGACATCGATGTTTGACATGTGGCAAGTCGATGTAACTTTCATCGATTTTTATCATCGATGTTCATCGAACATCGGTGATCATCGAACATCCCTAATTGACAGGCACAACGTGTTTTCACGCTCGGTAAGAATTTTTTTGATTAATGTTTTTGTCCATTGTTACCGTAAATAAAATAAGTTTTCGTGTAGAGTATTCTATCAGTAAGTAGCCAAATATACTTAAGATACGTTTTCAATACTTAATTTATGACGTTTTCCTATTAATAATAAAGAGGTTATACTTTGTTGTTATTTAGTTAGTGGGGCACTTTCGGACAGAACTAGATTGAACGCGTACGAATGTGCCCCAACTGGTAGGGTGCGATTAAGTGTGCTAATTGCTAATTTTTGCATTAACTTCGTCCTGAGTTTTGCTATCATCGTTGTAGGTATATACATTTTAATACCTATTTATTATTTTTTCACAGAAATATGGTGCGGACTTATAAACCAAAAAAGACAAGTAGACAAGCTGTGGATGAAGAATCCATGCAATCAGCAATACAGGATGTTATGCAAGGAGTATTGTCATATAGAAAAGCTGTGGACAAGTACAATTTGAAATTGGGAACATTAGAAAGTCGAGTAAAAAATACAAGAATAGCAATGATGCTGAAGGGTCAAGGGACTGTACATTTGACTCTAAATCAAGTTTCCTAGTCTTTTCTATGGAAGAAGAAAAACTGCTAAATATTTATATTATCAAATGTTGTAAGATGCATTCGAGTTATGACGATTCAAGCAAAAAAGCTAGCACTTAAGTATGCCAAATATTTGAGTTTGAAATATCCAAGTGGGAAGAAAATGGGATGGCTGGGAAAGAATGGATGTATGGTTTTCGCAGAAGAAACCCGGAACTCAGTTTATGCAAACCCGAAAACACAAGCGCTACCAGATCTTTTGTGTTTAACAAAACTTCGGTTACCGAGTTTTATACCAACTTGAAGACAGTGTGGGAGCAACATCCATTAACTGCTGACAGAATCTTTATTTTCGACGAATCAGGTGTTTGAAGAAACACAATGAAAAGCAAATGAAAAAGCTAGAATAGGAAAGGAGGGATAGGGAAAGACAGTTCAGTTGAAAAAAATGATAAAAAAAATGTTCAGTTTGCCTTGATCCGGATTATGAATTCTCCTAATTTTTGTTTTTTAACAAACTTTAAACGATAAGGTTTTATTTGAATTTAACTGATTTATTAAGTAATATTACTCTATCTTACTTAATAAATTAGTTAAATTAAAATTTTATAAGTCAATTAAAATTTTAACAAAATATTGATTACTATCAATATTTTGTCAATATATATATATATATATAACTAAATTAATATTAAGTATTAATAGAACTACATTTAAGTTAAATAAAAATAAGACTGATTGTGATAAGTGTTTGTAAACGTAGCCTAATCTAATCTTACTTGTAAGGCAGTGTTCCGCCTACGTAACTGTCCCAATAAATGGGATTTCAATTTTAAGATTTATATAAAATTTTAAGAGAATTAGGACACATTAGTTGTATAAAAATGTTTAATTGTAACAATTGTCTCCCCTTTTACCACTTCATTGATGTTTATTTAAACTATATACCTACTAAACATATTAAAATTTGGATGACGTTACAAAAGTGGCGTAATGAAAAGTTTAAGAGAAATCACTCGAACATTTATGTAAAGATTCTACCAGTATTTTTAAAAAGTAAGGTTCAATTTCTACAAAAAATGAAGACACGTATAAAAAATTTGTTTTATTTATACAAAATAGAAGTAATTAAAGTGACGATAAACATATTTCGTTACATCTGCTAATGTGTGATTTAATGCACATATTTTTTTAACACAAAATGTTCCAGGTAACGGTCATTTTATTTGAAAAAATTGTAATACCTATCAATTTTGCAAACGCGTCTTTAAACAAATTAACATCTAGTAAGCATGGTCAGTGATGACATAAAACTAATTAAAGTATGTATGCGTAGATATATGGATGTAAAGAAGGCGAAAGAGGTATGTCAAGATTGTGCCAAATGGAAGTCCGTAGTCTCTGCCTACCGCTCTGTGTAACAGGCGTGAGTGTTTATGTATGTAATTAAAGCTGTAGTTTTTTACTGTTGGCTGTAGAAGTATGCTATGTCGCTCATCAAACCATGGAGGGCTGTATTAATTAACAAGGATTTATATAATATTGTATTTTAATGGCAACACTGCGTCGGTTGTCAACACTGTCTGTGGTTATGAAGGAAGATTCAATATGACGTTATAGGCTCTCCATGTTGTTGTTTTGAGATTAATAAAAAGCACGTTTTATGTTCAAAGTATTATATCTTTAATTATCCCCATAATCCTTAACAGGCTATGCTCAATTTCTTTACGTGATAAAATTCGTAATAAGGATATCTGCAGTAGAATGACTACCACTAGATGCAGTGACGGCCTGGTAAACATGCAGGAAGTCGATGGATGCAGGTGGCTCAGGACCGTGCTTTGTGGCATTACTTGGGGGAGGCCTATGTTCAGCAATGGACTTGTGAAGGACTGTAATGATGATGATGATGATGAAATATAATATGTAACATTTAACTAAAATTTAGTAATAAAACCTCTGTTTCTTCGCCATCTTGTAAAACTACGTAGGTAGTACGGTACGCCATTAAGCTTGTAGGTAGGCTTACCACTTTTTGTACCTTTCCTCTTTAGCTTTGCTGTAACTGAAACATCAAACATTGTCTATGGTCCAGAGTTTGACGCACACAATACTCAGTGTGTTTACAATTTTTACCAAAAAAACTTAATTCTACATACTTAAATGTAACTAAGGTATTTTACGTTAGCTAATAAATGGGTTATAGACAAGGGTACATGAAAGAAAACCACTTGTAAGTACTACACCACACCGATTTATTTTAATATTGTCAATACACTGAACCGCCATTTTGACGAGTACAGCGGATTCTCCACGTACGGGTCGCAAGCGACCCTGTAACCCATACATACCATCAAACAACTATCTGCTGATTTAGAATAAATACTGACCAAAAAACAAAATGGATCAAATAAATGATTAACAATCATAATACGGGCTTGAAAACTACAGCAACGCAACATTGAAATTTAATTTCCATGATAAATTAAACAATGCAAATAATCGACGTAAACCAACGATAATTCACAAATAAACATAACACCACTTTCGTATTCAAATAAATTACATCAATACTTTGGTAACTTGAAATTAAATTACAGTATAACTATAGCATATAACATATGCAGTGTCAAGGATACAGATGTAAAATAAATTAGAGAATTAACTAGGATTTATAGCAAAGGATGATATGTATGACGGTTAGATTTAGCTCCATCAATGGGAAAACAAGATGAAGCGTCTAAAAACGATAAATTTAAATAGAATCGTATTTAGCATATTGAAGTTGTACAAGCCGTCATCATCGTGAACGATGTTTACTTACTGATTTTAAGTATGAGACAGGAGAATAATTTGATTTTACATACTTTGCTTCAAATTCTTAAGACTTCTTAACATACCATCCCACTAGTGCTACGTGAACCTACAATTCACTATACGACCTACATAAATTTAAGACCGCATGATAATAATCAAATTACATTTAAGTAATATCAGTTGAATCACACCACAACACTAGTCAATTTAAGCTCCCAGCTCTTAAGAGTTCGTTGTGTTAAAATTTTGTATTATTTTACAAAATATGCATAAAAGATCAAAAATTATAATATTCATCACAATTGTAAGTACTCAGAGTCATCGTAATTGATTTCTCAACAACAATAATAATCACAAAAAAGATTACATCAAAAAATGCATCACCTAATACTAACAATACATAAATAGATTATCGATTAAATTGCATTTTGATAGATTGTATAATGAACACGGGCACTGTGTCAGTAACACAATTGCATATATTACACATTATTACTTAAAACAAAATTGACTATTGGTTATGTGTGAATCAATCTGTATCAATACATACTACTGAGCGGGCTCGGCCCATGCGTTCTACACAATATATTACAAAGTCTAATGGGTCATTTTCTAAAACATTTCTATATAAACACAATTATCATAGTAAAACATTAAGTCGCCCATATATATCAATGACAATTTGATTCAGAAAGATGAAGAAAGAAACTGCTCTGCAGGAAAAAGATTAGCTAACTGACATAATGTAACCAAGCACCGCCCTAACTGGCCGCATTGGTACGAAGCAACGCGCTTTACAATAATTGACCTTAATTCTTTGCAATAAAGTGATTTAACTCGCATATACCTTGTTTTTTGCATTGAAACTACATGGAAGACCAAAATCATCGTATAATTTTAAGTAAATAAGTTTATTATTCACAAATCATGTACGCAATAAATGTTTTTATTTAGTAGTTTAACACAACAATACGTTTATATAAGCGTTGCTACGTACAAGTACAATAATGGTACAAGCACTCAGCAACGTTTAGTTAAGTCATCCATAAACTTTGAAACATATGCACGGTACTTATACGGTATGTATTTATACGGAAGTACGCTCTTGCGTCATTTCCCATAAATATGTAGAAATGTACTGTCTAATGTAAATCAAGTGTAACACAAAGCCCCATGACTACCAGTCAATATTTAGAACGTTGCTACGTACCCGCATTTCACATATTTCTTTCACGAATACGATGTGTAATTGCAAACTGTGAGCGTACGCTAAGAACAGACCAGCGTTTATTGACAATTTCAGTTTGTACTTTCAGTTACCAATGTATGTATATCAAGAATATTTTTTACAGTTAATGAATATCCTTCGAATGCGATTATAATAGATTACTAATAACATAATTATAACATTAATTTACAATAACAAAGTTAATGCGATATGGCAAAAATCATGAACCGCAACATTTTGATATTATTTATGAACAATATGTAGTCATAATATATTATTATTAACAATTTCATTAAAACTACTCATTAAATGTAATGCTTAGTTCGTATTTTTGTATAAACTACACAATGAAATTAAAGTCGGTTCTTATCGTGCACACACAGTATATAAATGTAGTGCGTACACGTCACTAGTACAATAGTGTACTTGTGTGCAGTGATGTAAACGCACTCTTTTATATATTGTTGGTTGGTTTAGTTACCGAGCTGTTTCATGAGAAGTTCGGTACTGAGTGACTTGGGTCGCTCGATGGGGAATCCGAGTCCTCGAGACCAGATCAGTTGAGCGAGGACACCAAGAGCGCGAGACACGCCGAACATCACCGTGTAGTAGTTCATTTCCTTCAGACCGTAATACTGGAAAACAAACATTCATCGTTAACGCTGGTGTGGCTGTATATCATCTTGTGGCGACATCTATGTCACCACATAAAATGCTCGAAGATGATCCCAAAATTGACATTAGGCCTTGCTAATTTATAGGTAGACTTTCACATGCGTCCATCATTTTTATGGATCGGGTGCATAATAATGTCCTCCAGACCGAATTTCGGCCACGGCGGCCTGCCTCAACGGAGACTAGCCATAGGCGCAGGACAGGATTATATGCACTCTTTATTCCCTCACTCTCATAGTCCGATGGGACGGTAAACCGACACGACCGGAGAGAGATCAGGCGCAGGACCAACGGCTTTACGTGCTTTCCGAGGCACGGGGGCGAGACACCGCCAACTTCCTGACTCCGGGCAGATACTGCGAATTTCTTGACAGAAAAACTCAATAATTAATTTTTTGGACCGACCTGGGATTCGAACCCAGGACCAGCAGTCGCACTACTACAACCACTAGACCAACGAGGCAGTCTGGAACATATATACATGACAAAAGTACCTTCCGGTTCTTTACCTTCTATTAAAACCTTATCACATGAGGAGGATTTCGAGAAACTGGAAAATATTGATACTGCTGATAGATGGTAGTTTAGCCGTAACCTCGTTTTAACAAGCTATAACATCCAGACCAGCAACAGCAAGGCAATTTAAATAAATATAAATTGTAGAAAGTAAGTAATATAATAATAATTAAGTAATTAAATTTATCCTAATACTTTAAAAGATTATAGAGGCTGCAAGAAGTTAAATCAAGAAATTAGGTATCGGTGTGCCCGAACGACGAAGCTAGACAACCGAGAGAGACAACTGCAACTCTCACTGATTATACCTACGTAAAACTGACGAAATAGTTGTTTGTTCCTTTTTCTTTAAAGAACCATTTAATGAGCATTGTGGTATGGTAACGGTCATAAAAACTTACCAATCAGATTTTTAATAGCATGTATATGCTCATTAATACTTAAAACTAATATTGCACAAAAAACTTATAAACTCTACTTCAAAACAAACAAATTAAATACTCTTTTTCTCCAAACGCTATGTTTTCTGTTTCTCTTTATTTTTATGTTCATTAAATCTGTTTATTGGATTTCTAATAACGTTACGAACTATTTGCTTTAAGGTCATTATGAGGGAGAAAACAGAAAACATATTTGTATAGACTAAACGCTGTCCGCAAATCTTATTATGCAAGCAAATTTAAAGCCATACCGGTATATATATATATATATATATATTTAATATCTTGGAAGTGGCACTTACAATTTGGATAAAAGCCTTGAGAAAAATATATTTTTTATAGCATTGGGCGACAACCTAGCATTCGGTCCACCTGATGGTAAGTATATGCTGTGGCCCATAGACATCCATATTTATCCTCATCTGAGGATCAAAACGCAAATGCGTTTTCACCCCTGAGGACTAAGATGGAATGCCTCGTTTCTAGTAAAACGGGTCTCCGGATCTCTACATTCACCATACGAAACACAGCAGCATTAGCTGGTATTGGACGCTGGTATTCTGTGAGAGCGTGGTCCTTCCCCTGTCAAGCCGACCCATTCGTGTTACAAATATAATATAGCTGCAGCATGGCTCTACCACATAAAAATTGAACACAGTGATTAAACAAAATTTGAAGATTTTTTCAAATAGTTTGGTTCTTACAAATAATTCTTTTATAATACATATAAAACTGACATTACTTTTTTTCTCTTTTAAATGTCTACTCTTTTAGGCAAGTATATTACAGCAGTAGACGTTTTTTATTACTAAAGCTTTTTAATGCCCTAAGAGCAGGTGAAATAACCAAAACGGCATAAGCTCTTTACTTAGTTTTTACACAAAAAAGAGTGTTAAAAATTATTGAGTTTTATTGATTCCGCATTTCACCCGTGAAATTGAATATGCCTGAAATTGAACATTTCCGTGCGAGCGTGCCTGTTACATCATCATGTAATCTCTAAGACTACGGTCTCCAATTAGTTACAATAAAAATAATTCGGGCATCTTAGCCTTATAATTGTGGTAAAAGCTGTCAATAAACATGAATGTTGAGTCAGTGTAACAAACCTGTAAGAGCACTCCAGAGTGGGAGTCCACGTTGGGCCATGGGTTCTTAACCTTGCCGAGCTCAGTGAGGATCGGAGGCACCACTTTGTAAACAGCTGCAACCAGCTTAAAGAGCGGGTCGTTGGGCAGGTGCTTCAGAGCAAATTCACGCTGGCATGTATATCTGAATAAAACCACATGGAATTAATAACCTCTATGAAAGCTAATTTCGGGTTCCGGTTCCGGTCATTGAACAGATTGGACGTGCTTCAACGTTCTCCGCGAATATATACTCGAGTTGTGTGCAAAAACAAGTGTAATCAACCGTATTTTAACCAAGATTGCTGAAAAAACAATAACGGGCAAAATCCAGAAGTAAAAACAGTGGAAACCAACATTAAGTGAAAAATTGTACAACAAACATTATTGAAACATAATCTAAAATTGTAAAATCATTGAAAGGAAGTGAACACACCATAGACAACTTTAAAGAAGTGACATTAAAAAAAGTGTTGCCTACCAGAATTCAGTGTTACTTAACGGAACCTAGTGTTGCCAAACAGAATGTAGGGCTGCCAACTAAAATACAGTGCTGCCATAGCAGTAAAATTTCCCTAAAAATGGAGGAAAAATATATGGAAAAGCTAATATCAATACTAGATAAGAAACTTAATAATCAGGCTCTTCTAATAACAACTTCAATTACGAAAAATGTAATGGAGGCGCTTGATGAAAAGATGAAATTTATTATGGAAGAAAATAGTACCCTCAAAACAAAAATATCTGAATTAGAAATGGAAGTAAAGTTTTTGAAAGATGAAAAAAGGAAAAATAATTTAGTATTTTTTTGGAATAGAAGAAATAGGAAAAACCGAATGTGAGCTTGTGGATTACATCAAGGACGTCATAATAGACATGGAAATACACTTCGATAGTAATGAAATCAGTAAAATATACAGAATTGGGAAACACGTCGACAACAAAAAACGCCCGGTCGTAGTCACTATTACTACGCTATGGAAAAAGCACCTGATATTGCGAAACAAGTCCAAACTTCCACAAGGAATATACATTAAGGAAGATTATTCTAAAGAAATGCTAGAAAAACGCAAGCAGCTACAGTTACAGGTTGAAGAAGAAAAGAAAAAAAGAAATGTAGCATTCATAAGATACAATAAATTAGTAGTAAAGAAAAACAAAGATAACTACCCAGAAAAGAGAAAAAGAGAAGAGTCAGGTTCGCCAAACAATTCAAATCAAAAGAAAGCTACCACTACCGTTTTCAAGACACAAATCAACTCAGCGACCAAAACTGTAGGAAAAGACACTATAAGACCTAACATACTCAGTTATGTGGAAAGAGGAAGTTCAGCTTTGATATCAGAAATACCAAAAAACCTGTAAATGACATCGACACCCGGAACCGAGACAACACAATATCAATAAAACAAACTTTTTCTAAAGACACCCCAATCTGGCCAGTCACCGTGGGGGAAGAAGACTATTACCCTCCAACTAATTTCCAATTACACATTCCTCCTAAAAAACATCGCCAAATGGCAGATAAAATACACATTGCGACATACAATACGTTGTCCTTAAGAACCAATGAGAGTCTAACGGAACTAATACTAGCTCTAGAAAATGTAAAGTGGTCAATACTGGGTTTGAGTGAAGTACGACGACTATGGGAGAGTATAGAAGACCATGGGCATTTTATATTTTATTATAAAGGAGAAACACCAGGCTTATATGGAACAGGATTCTTAATAAAAAATGAATTAAAACCATTTATTGACGAGTTCATTGGCGTCTCAGAACGTATTGTTATACTTAATATAAAACTACCTCCGAAAAACGAAAAGTGGTGGTCGATTGTGCAAGTCTACTCTCCAACTGAACAATCAAGTAGAACAGAAATCGACACGTTCTACTCTATGTTACAGGACGCAATAATCAAACACTCGCACAACAATTTAGTAGTGATGGGAGATTTTAATGCAAGAATAGGGGCAAGAGTAGACGGAGAACAAATGATATTGGGTCCGTATTGTTCAGGCAAAAGAACAAGAAATGGGGAGAAACTTGTCCAACTGGCATATGGAAACAACTAAAAAGTACTAAACACTCTATACAGAAAACGTGAGAACAACAGATGGATATGGATATCTCCCGATGGTCACCACAAAAACGAGATAGATCACATACTGACAAACAAAAGTAAAGACTTTCGGGACTGTAGAGTTTTAAACAATATTAATTTCAACAGCAACTACAGGATGCTAAGAGCTAAGTTACAAATAAACACACTCAATAAAGATAGACCCTTTAAAGTAAAACAAACCAACAGCTTAACACTAGAAAGTACTGATTCACTAAAAGGAAAGATAGAACAATTCATAGAAAAAACAAAGGACTTAGACATACAGATTAAATACAATAAATTCGAAGAACTCCTCTATACTACTAAAAAAGGCAAAATGGAAAGTAGAAACAACAAGACAAAATGGGTAACAAAGAAAACTAAAGAACTGATAAGAAGTAGAGCAGACCTTATATCTAACCCTGAAAAGACAAAAACTATAAGAAAAGACATAGCTAATTTAAGTAATAAAATAAAAACACACATGAGAAAAGACCGTCAGAGATATAGATTACAACAATTGGAAAAATGCATACAAAGAACCGGAGGCACCAAAAAAACAGCTAAACTACTATTGGAAAAACGAGATTGGATACCAAATTTAATAAATAAAAATCATAAATGCGAGAAGCGACGCCCTGAAATCACATCAATAGTAACTCAATTTTTTGAAGAATTGTATTCAAGGAAAAACACTGCACAGACAACAATCCTAACAGGAGGAAGTGAAGTACCGGATATAATACACGAAGAAATAGAAAAAGCTGTGAGAACTCAAAAAGCAGATAAAGCTCCAGGATTAGATGGCATAAGTAATGAGTTCCTCATCCTAAATAGAAACCACCTGATACCAATTCTCAAACATCTTTTCAATGAAGTCTTACAAAGCGAGATAATACCTTACCAATGGACAACGTCAACAATAGTACTTCTACACAAAAAGGAGATAAGAATAACATTAATAATTATAGACCTATAAGTCTATTGTCGAATATATATAAAATCTTCGCAAAAGTTATACTCTATAGAATAACTAGCACGTTGGATGAAAATCAACCAAGAGAGCAGGCGGGTTTCAGGAGCGGATACTCAACTTTAGACCACATTCATGTCATTAAGCAACTATTCGAAAAAGCCAATGAATACAACATAACCTTTTACTGCTTTCGATACAATAGAGCATGAAAAAATTTGGCAGGCACACAAAAACCAAGGTATTGAAAAATAAATACATCAGAATACTAAAAAATATCTACGATAACAGCGAGGCTAAGATAAAACTAGAGAAGGAAGGTAAAGATATTATAATAGGAAGAGGCGTACGTCAGGGCGATCCGCTATCGCCGAAACTCTTCACAGCCGTTTTGGAAGAAGTCTTTCGTCAATTAGACTGGGAGAAATGTGGACTGTCCATTAGCGGCGAAAACCTGTCACATTTGAGATTTGCCGATGATTTGATAATCCTCTCGTCATCGAGTGACGGACTGCAGGCGATGCTGAATGACCTGGTTAGAGAAAGTGGCAATGTGGGATTGGTCATGAACACATTAAAGACCAAGGCAATGACCAATGGCAAGGAAGAACCTATTCTGATTAATAATAACCTGATTGAATATGTTAATGAATACATACATCTATTTGGGGCAAATAATCTCTCCTATAAATCTAACCTCAAAAGAAATTGACAGACGCATTGGAAATGCCTGGAAACAATTTTGGAGCCTAAAAGAAATAATGAAAAATAACGACACCAACATAACCATCAAACGGAAACTCTTTGATACCAACATACTACCTATACTCACTTACGGCTGCCAAACCTGGGCACTCACTGAAGCACACATTAAAAAGTTAGAAACATGCCAAAACTCAATGGAAAGGAGTATGATGGGGAAAAGACTATCCGATAGAATAAGAATCGAAACCATAAAGAAACACACGAAAACAAAAGATGTCACAATAATAATAAAAAAGTTAAAATGGAAATGGTCAGGCCATATAATTAATTAGAGGAAAAGAGAAATGGTCGAAATCGATAATGAATTGGTTTACAGGTCATATGAAAAGGAAAAAAGGTAAACCATGTAGAAGATGGGAGGATGATATTAAAGCTATAGCAGGAGGCATGTGGACGAGAACTGCTAAGGATAGAGAAGAAGGGGAAAGGTTGGGGGAGGCCTTTGCCAATAAGTGGCATACAGACAGGGTTGTCGATGTACAATAGTTAAGTAATATATAATCCAGTGTTAGATATAGATTAATCCAGATAGATACTGTAAATGAAATAATGTCTGAAATAAAGGCTATTATTATTATTATTATTGTGGGGCATCTATATAGTTTTCTCATCTGGTTGGGTTATATAGATATATAATTATAAATGAAAATGAAAAGATAAATATACATAAATATCAATAACATAAAATAAATATAAAAGTACATAAATAAGTAAAAGCCCAACCAGATGGAGGCCCTCGGCAGGGGAGACCAAACGGCCGAGGGTTAGGGGGAAAGGGAAAGAAACCGGCGGACGATGCGGGCGGTATCGAGGAGCACCGCCTTCTGCATTTGAACCTGGAGCCGTCCGCCACGTAGTCCCAGCCGCCTCAGATGACCCGAGAGGCTGACTGGGATTAGCCCGTTTGCAGAGACGACTACAGGAATAATTTCGGTCGGCAGACCACCCCACATGTCGGTCACCTCGTGAGCCAGGTCCAGATATTTTGTTTGCTTGTCTGTTTCGGCTTTCACGAGGTTCTCGTCATACGGAATGGTAATGTCGACCAAAAATATCCTTGACTGTGCCCGGTCCATCAGCACAATATCAGGCTTATTCGCAAGAATAGTCCTGTCTGTGATGATGGCCCGGTCCCAATAGAGCCTGGCGCGATCATTTTCGAGCACGGCTTCCGGCAAGTACTTGTAATACGGCAATTTCCGATCCACGAGACCGTATTTCAGAGCGAGCTCCTGGTGTAGAATTCTGGCTACTAGGTTGTGCCTGTGCAAGTACTCAGAGTTAGAAAGCGCCGAACAACCGGAGATAACATGCCTAAGTGACTCACCGGGATGGCGACAAGCTCGACAGATGTCGACGGTGCCATCCTTTAGGATGTATCTCCGATAGTTGTTGGTCTTAATAACCTGATCCTGTATTGCACAGACAAAACCCTCGGTTTCCCCCGAAGAGATCACCAAAGCGTAGCCAGTGGAGGGAGGCTACTGTGTCTACGAAAGGCTCATGTAGAGCCTTGTAGAACCTCCCGTGGAGCTCCTTCTCCTTCCATACGGTCTCCCGGTCGGAAATGCTCTGCACTGCCGGGTCTTGCCATTGCTCGTTGGCTAAGGATAGAGGGGTAAGTCCTTTATCACAAGAAATGACGTCCTTATAGAATGGATCATCCGATCTCGACAGGAAGTAATCACGGAGGCTGCACACTTCGCGATTATGCATGGTGAGCGCGCTCAAGAAGCCACGACCACCATGCTTCCGCGGCAAGTACAGCCTCATTACCGACGATCTCGGATGATGCATCCTATGGGACGTCATGGTAGTGCGGACTTTTCTATCCAGGGCGTTAAGTTCAGTCTGAGTCCACCTGAGTATGCCAAAGGTATACATGAGGACAGGCATGACCCAGCCGTTATATGCGTGTGCCTTATTCACACCGGACAAAAAGGCTGTTAAGCACTTTGGTCAAGCGTGCATAAAACACGTCGCAAACTGACTGTTTCATACCAGCCTCATCGATACCGATGTTCTGTGACATACCCAGGTATCGGTATGTTTCAGCCTCGGAAAGGGTTCTTAAGTTGACGGGCATAGATAAGTCTATGCCCTCAGAGTTAGCAACCCTTCCCCTTTCAACATGGAGGACCGCACACTTATCCGTCCCCAGCTCCATTCTAATAGAATTGCTAAATTCACACGTGATGTTTAGCAATTCCATAAGATGGGAGCGACTGGAGGCGAATAATTTGAGGTCATCCATATAGAAAAGATGGGTCACTTTTGTACCTCCTCTCCGAAGCTGAAATCCCCTCCCGGAGCCCTCCAGTAAGGTACTGAGAGGGTTCAAAGAGAGGCAGAACCAAATTGGACTCAGACAGTCGCCCTGGAATATACCCCTTCTTATCCTTATGCGGCTTTCCGCAGCCGTCATCCGCTCGCCTAGATGACAGAGGATCGTACTCCACTGCCCCATACACTGCTCGAGGAAGTCTCGAACTGTACAGTCAATCTTGTACAGCTCGAGGACCCTCTTTAGCCATGTATGGGGCACCGAGTCAAATGCCTTTCTGTAATCTATCCAGGCGGCGGAGAAGTTCCGACGGTTGCGTTTCACCACTTTGCCAATGACCGCGTCAATGAGGAGTGGTTCCTTGGTTCCACGACCGCCGCCCCGACATCCATTTTGAGCGCGCGACATCACCATTTATTATTATTATTATTATTATGAAAGCTAATACTGTGCCTAATCTAAAGATAAAAAAGCTTACATTTAAATACTTTGTTGTTTTGACTTATTTAAAAGGAACACAAATGTCTAAGAATTATATGAGTGACAATGGTTTATTTGTAATCAAGATCCTCTAGTGAAGCTACTAGTAGCTCAGCAAAGTCTAATTCAACGAAGCTTGTGTGTAATTAATTTTTTGACACAATGTAAACTTATAGATTGTGACGAAATTTCCTGCATTCAGCAACAACTATGTTAGGTTCACTTGGAAAAATTATATACATTAAGTGAGAAAAAAGTATTTTGTGAGCTTAAGGTTGATGAATCTTGTTCAGTTCAGTTCTTAGAACAATTAAATTTTTTATCTAAATACGTTTAAAAAAGAGTAACGGATAATATGGCTACAAAAAAATATGGACTTTTTTAAAAACTTTAGACCGTCAATAGGAATGTCTTCTGTATTGTGAATGTGAAGGCGTTTTTACAAACAGAAATTCTGTATGCAGAAACATCACAACCAATACATTTCTTAGCCAAACACATAAGTGTTCAGCTGGAATTTCATATCCCTGGCCACAGCAGTAAAACCAGACGCTTAATTGATTTTTTTTTACCAAACTGTAGTAATACATCATAATGTACCATATAAAATGTAGTGTATGCCACAAATAGTGTAGCTGTCAGTCCTTAACATCATTTTCTACTTCTTCATCAGCCAGTAAAAATCAAGGGCTAGACATGCCTTTGTAGCGTGGCCTCTACCATTGTAGCTTGGCCTCTGCCATTGTAACGTGACCTCTGCTATTGTAGCGTAACCTCTGCCATTGTAGCTTGGCCTCTGTCATTGTAGCGTGGCATCTGCCATCGTACCGTAGCCTCTGCCACAGTAGCGTGGCATCTGCCATCGTAGCATGGCCTCTGCTAATTGTATGTGACCTCCGCCATTGTAGTGTCACTACGGTTATTGTAGCATGGCCTCTGGCATTATACCGTGGCCTCTGCATTGTACCGTGGCCTCTGCCATTGCAGCAACGCCTCTGCCATCATAGTGTGACCTCTGGGACTGTACCGTAACCTCTGCCATTGTAGCATGTCCTCTACCATTGTAGCGTGGCCTCCATCTCTCCATACGTCTTCTATCAGTAGCAAAAAGATCTCTCAGGCATTTCCACATCTCACATATCATCCTTTTCGACTTTCCTTATTTTATTTGATCATCACACAATTCTTTGAGAATAACATTCTAATAAGTTACAACTAATAAGTTAAACTATTAGCGGGTAATATTAATATGAACATTTGTAAAATAGAACAAAGTAAGCGCTTACCTAGGGTCAGTTTTCCTGAGCACAGCATGTCCGTAACCAGGCACAACTTGTCCTGATTTGAGTGTCTTCCAGATGAATTCTTTAAGCTGGTCTTCAGTGAAGTTGTCACCGACTTGCTTGCGGAGTTTCTCCAGCCAGATAAGCACCTAAATAAAGAAAATAACGTAAATTTCGAACAAAATATTTTGTATAGCCTACAACGGTGGCTTTTTTGTCAAGAATTTCTCCGTCATTGGACTATGAGAATCAGGGAACACAGAGTGCTATACTTGCACACACACTCATGCACTATAGACATCTACTGTGTAGATCTATAGTGCATGAGTGTGTGTGCACTAGTCGCCATTGAGACTGGCCACCATGACCGAAATTCGGTCTGGAGAACATTATTTGTTAAATATTATTGAAATAGATACCAAATGTATTTGATTATTTTTGACATCAAATTAAACTTACTGCTAACAAATCATTACCCGAGTAAATATTCATAAAATAACTGTAGTAAGTATTTCTTTAATATAGCAATGAATAAAAGCACTACACAACTTACCTCCTGGTTAGCGAGGCCGTGCAGTGGTCCAGCAAGACCATTGAGCCCAGCTGCGAATGAGAGGTAAGGGTCACTCAGGGCTGATCCGACCAAGTGTGTGGTGTGTGCTGATACGTTGCCGCCCTCATGGTCACTATGGACAAAAAGTTTAAATAGAATTTTTAAATTATCTTAAGTAATTTGAGTATCAGAAGTCTTAAAGGGAAAATAATATGTAACATAAGAAATAATTTTACGGCATTCATTATTGTTTTTTATCACACAACATTTTAACTTTGTGAAAATATAAAATATAAAAAATAAGGTATCAAGTTCTAGTCTAGTTACTTTGTCATTTGGTACAAATATCGCAAACTTATATAACATCATTATAAATCATTATTTAAATAACTTCCTAAATTCGCTCGTGTTTCACATTTTTACATACATACATATAAAATTGGATTGCAAGGCATTTTCATTTTCACTTCTAAACAAATAGCATAAATCATAAAACTGGTATAAATTCGCATGGATGAAAGTAAAGCAATATTTATTACAAAACAAATAAAAATACATCAATCAAATCAAGTCAGAAATAAAAATGTGAAATGGTCATTTTAATAGTGATGGTCGACTCGAGTAAATAACTCGAGTTAACTCGAGTTGGGCTTAACTCGAACCAACTCGAGTTGAATTCTCTGTGACTCGAGTTTGAAAACCGAATGAAACTGACGGAGCGAAGTTTGCCGATCATTTAAGACTACATTCATTCATTACAAACAAGTGTCACATTTATGTAGATTTGTGGTTAACTTTAAAGTGCCGGTTATTGTTGTAGTTTTTCGTGTTTTAAATTCTGTTTTTGAAAAATACCGGGTCCTAAAAGAAAATCTTTGGTTTGAGATGTATTTGAATCGTCAGTGAGTGGAGGTGTTACGTGTAAACAGTTCAGATCCTTTCAAATATAATGGAAATACGACCACATTAAAAATAAACATTCACATGTTACCGTCGAATAAAAGAAACATAAGTCCGACTTCATCATCAACAAATTAAAGTAATATGAGTACTTCGGTCGATTCATCCCAGTCACTGGTATCCACATTAAATGTTGAGGCCTCCTCAAAAAAGGTTAAGGCACACTCAAACCCGTCTTACTGTGCCAAAAAAATTATGCAAAATTCTGGTGATGACGCTTTAATTAATTTGATAGTGAAAGATTTACAGCCATTTCAAATAGTAGAAAATTCAGTTGTGTCAATGTCAAATTGGTAAAAATTAAAAAAAAAAAAACATTAACTCTTCCATTTCCATCTAATTATCTCGACTCTCGAGTTACGTAACTCGAGTTCAACCCGAGTTACATGAATTTTAACTCGGGTTAAATCGAGTTTCGTTTTTTCCGAGTTGGCACATCATTACGTTTTAAAGACAAACATATTAGGTTAAAGGAATTCAAAATATTGTAAAGCGATTTTCTAAATGCAGACATGAGTTTCAAAAAGTAAGAAAGAAACACTTAAAAAATTATGTACCAAAACACTAGTTAGTAAAGCCGGATGAAGATTTTTTTAGATTGTACATATTGAAACAGAAACAGAAACTTTTTTATTCAATGTAGATTATAAGCAATACTTATTGAAAGTCACTTTTTTAATTTACCACTGGTTTGCAAAAAAACCTCTGTCCTGGGAAGAACCAGCAAGAAACCCAGCGGGACTATTTTTTTTTTTTCAAATAATAGCTTACAATCATGTTTACAATTAACAACAACACAAATTAGAAATAGCTTGGTAGCGATCACCCTTCCCAGGGGTTACTATCATCCATAAATTCCTTAATATTATAATAACCCTTTTTATACAAACTTGAACTTTGCGTATGACAAATTTTGTATATTTTCTGGGAATTTGTTGTAAAAGCGTTATACATCGCCCCAAGAATGAATTATTATTAAAATTATTATGTAATTAAAAAGGTATATGTTGAAATAATTATTATACATTATGGTCCTTCACGGCTGGCCCTATCAGGATGTCCAACTTTGACTCGAAAGATCAGTGGTAACTGGGCTGGGCAATGTTTGTGAAATTATGATATATTTTCTTGTCACATATTCCTCAACTCTTGAAAACAAGAGTGGTACAACCAGCGTATGTTGCCAGTGATGACATGTGCTCCTTATCCTTATCCAGCATTTGTCAGGTATAAGGTTCCACAGATCAATAAACTGAAGAGGCATTGGGCCTGCAGTATAGCTCGTGAAACTGGCAATCAATGGAAAATAAAGGTTCCGGAGTGGCAACCCATACCTGGTAAGACATGCGGAAAGTTAATGGATAAAGGTAGCTCAAGATCATGCTTGTGGCAGTGGACTTGTGAGAGACTGTAATGATGATATCTACAAGAGGCTATCAGTTCTGCACTCACCAATCAGCCCAACTCTTTCAAAAGATTATTTGATGCATTCTTTGAAACGCTTTAAACCAGCAGAGGGTTCATAAGGTTAATAAAAAGAGGACCACCTCGATATAGCAGCAGTAGTATAGGAACAGTGAGCACCAGTCAATACTGACTGTAGAATATAATTAGAATTTGTAGAATATTACTGCTTGGCTTGCATATAGACCTTAAGAAGGATTCTAGCCCTAGCTTATCAAAAACTAAAAAGAATATATTAATTGAAATCTGTTAATATGGTAAAGAATTGTTTGCCGATAAGCCATGCAGATGCCTTTGCAAATAGAAGAGTTTGATGATTTTCTAATGGACCAAATTTATATAGGAACATCCCTGACGTACCCTCTTTCGGGAAAAGAGTCTTTAAAATTGATCAATAGGGTAAATAATTATCGCTGAACATAAAAATATTCCGACAAAAATTTGGACTATGGAATTTATTTCATCATTCATCAGTTATTTTTTAACATCAAACCAACTGCTTTTTAATCATCTTTACCTGACAATATTTAACTACTGTGACTTTATATAATATGATCTTTAAAAACAAGAGCAAGTCCGTCATTAAATACAAATATTATCGCTGTTAATGTTATAGATTCCCGTCAGTAAAAATAACCCTATGATGTTTGTGTGTAAATTCTCTTGTCCACTTATCCTCTGTATTCGAGTAATTCAATACCAATTGGGTAAACCATTTACGTGCCAATGTGTCATTATATGTCAATAAGTGTAACTTCAAAGTTTATTAAGAACTTTATTTAAAAATTTATTATTAATCATTTATTTACAACACATCTCTCATATTCGTGGACCACCGCAACTTAATAAATCTAGACATTAATACGTAGTTTAGGAAGTTTATGACCAAATAAGGGCAATTTTAAATATATTTTATTGTAATGTGCTACTGCACACTATCTTCTATTCATATCTCAATCGCTTTTGAAGTAGATTACATAAAACCGCGCGACAACAACTTGTCATAAGCTATATCATAACCTTGTCACACAAGAGTGATAATTTAAGCCTCTTGTCTTTTGTTTCAAGGTCTGTTATACACTTTTCGCTGTGCTAGAAAATGGCATGTGATTTGTAAAACATGCCTTCAGTAACAAGTGTTCAATATGTTATAAGAATTCCACTGACACAAAAGGAATGCTTATAACAATTTCCTAATGCCTAATGTGTTACAAGGACATAACTTCTAGAGGTTTATAAGATAAAATATTAAGAAAATATAATAAGTATATTCTCAAGATGTAAGATTCCACTAGAGTGCCGTTGGGTAGAATTTTTTAATATTTCCTACTTCATGATTCCTACTTTATTTTTTGAGCATCTATTACTAATTTAAAACCTATCTTATAATATCGACCTGATACATTACAAAAAAAAATCAGGAAATATTCAGACAGACTGACTGAACGAGTTAACAATTCCTTTTATGACATAACATACATAAACACTCACGCCTGTCACCCAGAGGGGTAGGCAGAGACTACGGACTTCCATTTGGCACGATCCTGACGTACCTCTTTCGCCTCCTTTACATCCATATTTCATTACATCCATATTTATTATTACATTTTATTACATCCTTTTATGACAGTAATACTTTAAAACATAACTGTCTTTCCGCAATAATTGAAATACAAAGTAAAGTGCAATACGCCGATAATGGCAGTAGCAGATGAGTTGATGCACGAACAAGGGGTGTCTAATAATTAGTATGTCAAATATTTCAGATAGATTTAAATCATAATAGTGGTAAAGTTTGATTATATTTGGGTAAATACACAGACACACTCCACCACTGTTATAGAATTCTACTAACAAAATAATATCAACGATCAAAGGACATAAATTTTTCATAAACACATTGTTACATAAACCTACACAAATCTACTTTATCTAAATACAAGGCAGCTTGGACTAATCCAAGTTTCTAAAAACTAAACGCAAGCCCAGCAGCAAAACGCTGCCTGAATATGTCTCCCGGTTGTGAATGAAAATATTCTATTTATTATATTATAATAGAAGCGAAACAAAACTAGATTTAACCACGCGTCATGCAGAAAATTAATTGAAAAATTTTGAATAACCAAAATTCGAACCCACAACACAATTACAAAGATTCTGCATTACTTTAAATAAGCAAAGGTTACTTAATATTTAAGGCAATACAGGTAATGTTAGGGACTAAAGGCAACCCTGTTGGTATCGCTTACTTACAAGTAATTAAAAACACTGTAATCAGTAACAAGGTTAAGTCAAAGTAGCACGAACTTCATTAACTAGTAACTAGTTATCATAGCATCTGTCGCATGATGGAAATTAAAATTATTATGTATAATAACAACCAATACACAATAAAACCCTGAAATGTTATAAATTAAAATTTAAGAGGTAGATATAAATACATTTAAAACATGTTTAAATAGCATAGCAGTTATAAATCATAAACATCATAAATATGTCACGCATACACATTCTCTTTCCAGGAGAGTTCTGTGCATGTATATTCTAGAAAATTCCATTGTAAATACTCAGATGAAATGAATGGTGGTTTATGATTTGTAATACCTTAGATTATTTGGACCAGTTATCAATAAAATTAATGATGCCACAACACTTTTAGATGATAATATTATGGAACCATAAATTCGCAAACACAACATATAAAATTAGAAAGTCAGAGCGATATATTATACAAAAAACACGCAAGCTGTAGTAAAATTAACAACATAAAAGTTCCCCAAGCAAATCTTAATAAATGGTCTTTTGTTTTTATGACAAAGTTTTATAACACTAATATTTATATATATATATATCGACGCAGTAACACACTTGGAAAAATACCAACAAAATATTTGATGTTTTTCATTCCTTCAAGGTAATGTTGACCTAAAAAATGAAAAATTGGCCGTGGAATATGTTTTATGATTCTATCTTGAACATAACGTGATTGCTATTGCTAGAATCAATAACAACTCTAATAAAATTCTATAATAATATCTTCAAAGTTAATAAAGTGAATTTAATAACTATTATGGTCCTTTTCCTTGCAAACTTCAATTACATTTTTATAATGTAATAAGAACGGTTGTTATCAACAATCAAAAATTTTTTTAAAACCTCTAGAGGACTTCTTAGATTATACGCTCATAGTAGCGGCTTAAGAATCTACCACGTTCCAATCTATCAAGTCCCTACTATAATTCTCACCTGTGAATGGTGAGGTACAGTCTCATGAGCTCGGTGAATTGCGGGTCGTCGAAGCCGAGCATTGTGCAGTAATTGGCAGACCAGTCCTTGTTGTCGTCGATAGCACCGATGCCCTTGCCATCCCGGTAGGTGTTGCGATATATGGTGGCGGCGATCACGGGCAGCTTAGCGATCAAGTTCATCGAGTCTTCGTACACGTACTGAGGAAAGAATGAAGCCATTTTAAATCAATTTAAGAGTAGAATATGATTTAGAAAATAAAAACTTTAACCGTGACGCTCGATTCGTTACGGAAGGTGAACGTAATTGGATTCTGACGAATTATAAACAATTATAGACATTCTTTTGTATAAAAGTACGAGTGACCAGCGAACATACCTGATGCTATTAACGCCTAAATCTATGCAAACCTGATGACACCCCTGAGAACCAGTGTTCTGGTCACTCACTTATATTACGAAACATAGGGGGCATACTTGCCATATTCGTCATGCCTGGGGTGATGGCAACCGCAATTTTTTCTTATTTTAAGTAATTATAAGATGCCATCCATTTCTTACACCATCCACGGGATAATATGGAGATTCGCTTACGCCGGCACTACCCAGCTCTAGTGTAAATTAAATTCACTTTTGAAAGATATCTTGAACTAACCTGAACAGTTAGACCAGATATGTTCAGGATATGAATGAATTTTAATTTTTATAGCGCTGAAATGTATTTGTTCCTAAAGCCGGGAATGTGTAATAATAAAATTAATGTTTATCGAAACATTTAACCGTAACATAAGTGTGAGTTGAATAAATAATTGCAATAAGTTTGCATAACAGTAACAGCATCAAGATTAAAGAGACTTAAAATATATTTAAAGTCAGAAAAAATGACAACAAATTTATATTATAGGTTTTCCTAAGGAACAAGTACAAGACACTTTTAGTGTTGAAGTGTATGTAACCCTTTAAAATAACTACTGTGATTACTGTGTAAATACTCTTATTATAGGTGTCTTACTTTGCTAGTATTATATGAACAGACCCAAGCAGTAATCTTAACCTTTGATTAAATTAATCAATTTAAAAAGCAAAAAGCGGTCTAGGTGCGACCCAAAAGCTCCACACGACTAACTTCCTAGTGGAAAGAATTAAAAAATATCATATGTTTCAATATTTTATACAATTTTTTATTCGGCACAGAAAATGACTTGCCCGATTTTGCTCAAAATTTTATGAGGTCTAAGTTACATAATTATGCGTTAAATTAGACTGGTCCCATGTCAATATCACTCTTTACACGAGATACACGAAGCGAAAATTGAATCCGAACATACATACGTACATGTGCACACACAGATATCCTCTTAAAAATTATACTATTCAACTGTAAAGGCTTTGAAACGTGGAGATATGTTAAAATTTTCAATTTGTAAAATCGGATCCATTACAATAACTTCCCACTGGAAAGTTAGTAATAATACCAATATAGTTATCAATCAGTTAATATTAGTTTACATAACGTACATTGATAGATATTATATGTATGTAATTTATGTAACATTGTAATATTCTAAAATAAATCTATGTTTGCACACAATTGAGGAAGGGCGGGAGGTGCTTTTCAAACTATGCAAGACACATCATTTTATTTTATTAAACAGATCTTAGCTAATTAATTTTTAAGATCTTTAATATAATGGATTTCCGCAAAGTAACGCCTGATTCTATTAACATAACATTTTTACTTTTCAGAAAACAAACACAAAAATATCATCGATTGAGCATTGATTTATAATTTAACTAGCTAGCCAAGCAGACGTTGTTTTGCCCTTTCCGACGACTTTCCTGTAAAAAATTCTTCAATGCGCAATAAAAAAAATTAAGGGTTACTTATCGGTTTCAAAAACCCTATCTCTCAAGTTAGAAAAACTGCAAAAAGTGTGCGAAATATCATTGAAATCAGTTCAGTAGTTTAGGAGTTCATCGCGGACAAACAACGTGACACGTAATTTTCATATATAAAGATTATACGGAGCCGTGGTAGCTCAGATGGTTAACGCTCGCTGTAAATATAACAAAACGCGAGTAATCCGGGTTCGATCCCCGCCGGCACCAATGAAATTGTTAATTGTAATTTTAAGTTCTGATTTACCACGTGCTCGGCGGTGAAGCAAAACATCGTCAGGCAAATGGAAAATTAGTCCGAGGAATAAGAAAAAAAATATTTCGTAGACATGTGATGCCAACACGCATTGGGGCAGCGCGGCGGACATTTCCTTGCCCTAAAACCCTCTCAGAAATGCGGGGGAGGCCTGTGCCCAGCAGTGGGACGTATATAGGCTGTAACTTTACTTTTACTTTTAAAGATTATATAGAATACACAAACTTTTAAATCTAAGACTAATCAAAAAATTCAATTAAAATGTCAACCAACAAGTTTAATCCTTGTATTCTAGTACAGTAAGTACTCACCTCCCAGTATTTAGACTTATGTACACCCTCGGAATAAGCTTTAGCGAACTTGGACTCGCTGTTTAAAGCAGTAACAGCAGCGGAGAACTGCGTCATAGGGTGCAACTTGCTGGGCATGTTGTTCAGCATGGTCACCACATGAGCTGGTAGCTCAGCCCTGTTTGGAAATTAGTGTTTGGAGTAAAGACCTTTGAAAAAAATCTGGTTTCATATAAATATAAGCCGATCAGAAGTACTTTAATCGTGAATAGAAGCTCTGACTGTACAATTCCATTATTTGAATAGACACAGTAATTTTTATAATATCATGGAAGAATACAAATAAGAGGGCTGAAAATTGACATACAAAAAGTTGTATCACATTTTTTTAAAGTTGCGAGTTTTGGCGGGAACTAGGCCGTCGATGATTTATCGCTCCTGTTTTGTCGCTTGAATAATGGTTTGAAGTGGATTTTGATTTGTAAAACTTATGCGATTTTGTGAATTAGGTGTCTGCGCGTGTGAACTATATAGAAAACGACGAAACAAGTGCTTTGATGTTGATATAAACCTCAAGTTATTTTGATCGCTTGGGCGCCTCATGAATTTGAGTGGCTGTCGTCATCAACTGTCCACTGGGTTGAGCTGTCGTCAAAATCTCTCAAAAACTTCGCAATGTGACGAATTAGCATATTGTGAAGATAAAAATTATAAAATGAAGATTCCGAAAGAAATGAAACGTGCCAGTAAAAAAATAGTTGTATCACAGTTTAAATAATAGTACTAACGTAGTTGTATTCTGATAGTAAGTATACCAATTACTGATAAGATGTGCAAGTCATCTAAGTGAAGCTGAATAGATTGAGTGAAATATAAAAAAATCATACGAATAAACATAACTAAAAATCCCGATGATGAGGATAAATTTCTGTTGCATAAAACAGATATATTTTTACTTTTTACTATGGCTTCACTACAATCCCACATGGAGGTAAGTTTCATGAAGCCCTAAGTGGTAAATCTTACAATCTTAGCGTAACGAAAGCCTGTTCACTCTCGCCTTGAAGACACCTAGATTGTAATCAGATGGAAAGACGGTTACGGTTTCGTTAGAATGAACGGTGAATCGACAACTATTTAAGGTGGAGACCCGCCGATCGTGTAGCGATCCGATGGTGGAAAGTGATGATTCCTGCGCAATGTCTACGGAATATAATAGTAAGTGACAGGGCTCCTCTTTTTTAGGGTAAAGAGATACGCTTGCGTTTGTGAGTCATTAAATTTCACTAGTCAAAATGATAATTTATGTATCAGGTAAACTAATTTCTTGTAATTTTAAATTGTATATTATTATGATATTTTAAGCGTTACCCGCGGGTCGAGCTATTTAATAGGGGAAATATTAGTCCATTAATTTGTGATCTTAGTAATATATGTGAAAATAAACAATCATACTTTCATAAGCAGGTTTATCCCTAAAACGCGCTTTAAGGGCTAGATGGATTGTAATGGTATACAGATCAGAAAGATGATGATGTAATGGTGAAGGATAACTTAGGCTACTTTTAATAACAACTATTACTTGTTTAACTAACGGCCAGTTATACAAGCGGACATATATTAAACGGATTTGTTTTTAATTAAAATAAATACTTATAGTAATTTTTTAATGTATCTAATATTACCGTTAACCATTCCAAATAAGCTTATGATGCTTGTAATAGGAAGTACTTCAGTTCCTTGAATTTACAGTATTGTTAAAAAAATAGTAAAATTTATAAATAAAAATCATGCAAATATCAACTCCTCTCATTCTAAATGTCCTGAATATAATACATTACACTGCTGAATATGTTACATTGCTATCCCATTTTCAAATTCATAACTATTTAATGTAAAAACTTAAATTTCATTTAAATATTTTTGTAAAATTAGAAGTAAAATTAATTGTAAAATTTGTAGATTAGTAATTTAATCAACAATCTTCCTAAACTACAATCAGTTTTATAATTTATTTCCAAGACATATTTGTCACTTACCTCTGGGCCCACTCCTTGGACAGGGCCTTAGTTTGAGCCTCGGTGGGTATATCTCCAGTGACAAGAAGCCAGAAGAGACCCTCAGGGAGAGGTTCTTCTCCTCCTTTAGCCTTGGGCAGCTGCTGCTGGCATTCTGGAATGGAAAGCCCGCGGAACCTAATTCCTTCATCGGGGTCAAGCACGGATGTTTCCCATACCAAACCCTTGATGCCTCGCATACCACCGTACATCTGTATCGAAACAATATGGTCAAATAAACACACAGTATTTCAAACAAGCACAAAACACAATTTTATTACATAATCTAATTTAGAATATTAAATACAAATAAACGCGATAAAAACCGTACAATTAGTTTTATTTCATGTGTTGTATCCGCGAAAATATAAGAAATCCCTAAAATTATGTACATAACGACATAATTTTAAATGTAATATTGTTTCAAGTTGTAAATATACGGCGGCCAAATTATTTTACTGCTACTTACATATACAATGTAAAATTTAAAAAAATATGTATAATGTGAGTTTTATACGTGGTAGAGCCATGCTGCAGTTATATTAGTAGTATAGTTGTAGCACGAACGGGTCGGCTCGACTGGGGAAGTACCACGCTTTCACAGAATACCAGCGTGAAATAGTAGCTTAATGCTGCTGTGTTTCGTACAGTGAGCGTACAGAACCGGAGACCCTTTTTAATGGAAACGAGGCATTCCATCTTAGTCCTCACGGGTGACAACGCATCTGCATTTTGATTTTTAATCGAGGATAGATGTAGATGTCTATGGGCCACAGCAACCACTTACCATCAGGTGGACTGTGTGCTCGTTTGTCATCCTATCCTATAAAAAAAGTGCCTTAGGCTTCTATTCCGTTCACCTGTAACACCCTAATTTTTTCAGATGGTAAAAAAAATCATCCAGTACATTTAGGGCATTTTTTAAACCGTTATCCACGTCGTGTAACGTTACTTAAAAAGGCAAGCAATAAAGAAGTAAGGCGCCTCGTGCCCTGCTTACAAATCGTAGTTTTTAGACTTTATGCACGTAGGATGAGCGTAGCATTGAGTTTAGCAACAGCTTTACTCTTCAATGAGATCCATAACTTCTTCTGCCAACACAGCGGCGCCACTTTGGTATTATGTGAATAATTGGCAGATTTCTTGGAGGGAAAGTTAAATTGATAGCAGAACATAAAGGCTAATGTTTATTTCTGAAATATCAGTTACATTGTACATAAATAAGATTAAAATGGATAAACCAAACTCCGGATTTCCTAAAAGTCTTAAAATTATAAAGAGAGATAAAAGTCTTATTTGAAACTCAATTCTTCACATAAGGTGATAATTTATATATTAAATCACTTCAGCTCAGTACAACCAGTGATATCTGGTGAGCGAAAAGCTTATTTTTACATGACATGGTCTTGATACACCATTTCAAGATTATTATTTATGTAATTATTTTATTTGAGAAATACGCTCTAAAGTAACATGCAAATATCATAAAGTTAATAACAATATAAGCAACGCACTTGAAGTTAGTGCGAAGCGAAACGTCAGTTTGACAGTTCTATTCTTTTCCTTTATTGCTCGCATCGTTCACGTTTAATTAGAAAGATGAGTTTGATGATTTACCTTTTACAATAGTCATATTCATCCAGTATTAGTTTTGATGGCGTGTTGCCCGCAGAAGAAAACACCATTTTAAACGTTATAATGTTATGATTTCTTAAATTTATGTGAACACTAAAGAGCAAATAAAACCACTTGTACAGATTTTATCGCGTTTAATTAACTTATTTTTAACTTATTTTTAATTCCCGACGTTTCGTGTGCTTTACAGCAACCATGATCAGGGGGTGGGGGATTAAAAATAAGTTAATTAAACGCGATAAAATCCATATAAGTGGTTTTATTCGACGTTATAATGTTAGTAATTTCCGCATATTTTTTAGTCTATCTTTTATTAAGCCAACGATTTTACAAAGGTGACTCACACACTAGACTAGTACACGGTACTATGCCTGATTATACGTGGGTTTTTGAGCCGGCAGTTGGCCGACAGATTTTAATGGACGAACACAAATTGTTGATTACGGGTTAGATAAGTGTGGCTTGACCTCGGGGTTTAATACTGCATCCTAGTATTACTCCGATCTTATCGCAGTGATACATACCTACAGGATAGAGGGTAGAATAGACACAGGTGGAGTAGGACGGAGTAGACGTCACGATTGTGTTAGTGCATCTACTACATCGATTTCAAACTCATTAGTTCGTATATGGAGGATTTGATACTACTCTACCCGTCGTCGGTCTCGATATATTTTTTACGTCTGACGTACACGATATTTTAGTACCGCCATCTATTAGAGCCATGCTATATTAATTGTATAGTTGAAGCAAGAATGGGTCGGCTCGACCGGGGAAGGACCACGCTCTCACAGAATACTAGCGTCAAATAGCAGCTTCATGCTGCTGTGTTTCGTATAGTGAATGTAGAGAACCGGAGACCCATTTTACTGGAAAAGAAGCATTCCAATTAGTCCTTAAGGCTGACAACGCATCTTCATTTTGATTCGCAAACGAGGATGGATGTAGATGTCTATGGGCCACAGCAACCACTTACCATCAGGTGGACTGTGTGCTCGCTTGTCAGCCTTTTCCTATAAAAAAAATACTCTCTATTCCCTCACTCTTATAGTCTGACGGGACGGTAGACGGACACGACCAGAGATCAGGCGTAAACACACGGCTTTACGTGCTTTCTGAGGCACGGGCATGAAACACCATCAACTTCCTGAATCCGGGTTACTACTGAGAATTTCTTTTCAGACGCCTTAGGACCACTAGACCTACAAAACAGTGAGTGTCTATTGTAGGGAAGATTTGATACTGAATACATCACACACGCTTGTCAACCGAATTGATATTCACAGCACTAGATGACTTTAAAGTTACCCTTATGACGTATTCTTATGTCACTATATCTTCGATCCCCGCCGGCACAAATGAAATTGTTAATTGCAATTTTATGTGTTGATTTACCACGTGCGCGGCGGTGAAGGAAAATATCGTGAGGAAACCTGCATGTCGGAGAAATAAGAAAAAAAATCTAAGACGTGAAGTTTGCCAACACGCATTGGGGCAGCGCCTCGGTCACTTTCTTGCCCTAAAACCCTCTCAGTAATGAGAGGAGTCCTGTGCCCAGCATAGGAAGTATATAGGCTGTAGCTTTATGTTTTCTACGCAGTTCAGCTGATCCATGTTAACTCACTGAGATTTAAAAAATAATAATTTTATACAAAAATATGAAAACACAATAACCTTTCCAAAACTAACTTAATTTATATTTCGTCGTGTTCCTGAAAAACTAAGCTATTACTCGGTTTTGCTTTGAGGCAGCCAAGTTGATAGCTGAACTTTGATAGCTGCCGGCAGTATACAGAATTTTTTGTAATGGTAGACGTAGTGAGTAAAGCGACACAGTAGCAGAAACGAACAAAAAAGTGACCTGGTGGTTGTTTACCGATGACACAATCGATAAGTTTGTCAGCCAAAACTTTAAACCCATAAGTCGAATGCCATCATCTAACGGGACAGTCACCCAATGAACGGACTAACGAAACAATCTGGCAACATTATATTAAGATAAAACGAGATACAGACGGTAGTTGCCATGTAGTGGTGGTATAAGAGTAATCATTCATTACTCCGTATTATCTCGTGAGTGTCGTAATAGGCGACAGAGCGAAACATAACAGATGAGCAGCATCATCTTCCTAATAGCAATTAGCTATTAGACAACAGCCCAAAATACTAAAGGAACTGCCGGTGTCAACCCGCCTGCTCAGCGTGGCTATGGGAGAATCTATATCCAGCAATGATATACGTGGTAGATCCATGCTGCAGCAATATTATGGTTGTAGCACGAATGGGTCGGCTCGACAGGGGAAGGTCCACGCTCTCACAGAATACGAGCGGCTAAATGTTGCTGTGTTTCGTATGGTGAGTACAGAAATCCGGAGACCCTTTTTACGGGAACCGAGGCATTCCATATCAGTCCTCAGAGGTGACAACACATCTGCGTTTTGATTCTTAATCGAGGACAAATGTAGATGATGTCTATGGGCCACAGCATCCACTTACCATCGGGTGGACTGTGTGCCCGTTGTCACCCTTATTCCATAAAAAATGAAATTGCTATATGCTGTCATCAACGAATGAATGAAACGGACGGTAGTTGGCTAGTAAGCTTGCAGAACATACACAACATGGTTACGGTAAAGAAGCTAAATATAAGATAATAAGACGTCGTTTACTCACCATGTCGACGGTGACCTCTCCGACTTTGGTGGAGCCATGCTTCTTACGGAACTCGCGGATCTTCTCCTGCTCTTTCGGAATCTTCTCCTGGAGAATGCTCTTGAGGTTGGTTTGTTCCGCACTCAAGTTTCTCAACAGAATTGTCGCCGATGGGCATATTTTCTACAAACAGATATCAGATATTATAAAATAACTGCACAAACAATTCTCTTAACCGATTTTTGAACTGCTATATATATATATATATATATATATATATATATATATATATATATATATATATATATATATATATATTAAATAACAATGAACACGAATAAGATTGGAATGGGACTTTTAAGAAGCTGTTGTAGTAACAATACGTAATGTTAATCATGCGAGAGAGGTGTGTCAAGGATCGTGGAAAACTTTATAAAACTATATAAGTCTGTATAAAAAGGGTCATTATAATAACAAGAAATTTATGGATGATAATAACCCCTGGGAAGGGTGATCGCTACCAAGCGGTTTCTAATTTGTTATGTGTTGTTATTATAATTAAAACATAAATGAATGTAAGCTGGTTTTTTTTAAACTCCCGCTAGGTTTCTTGCTAGTTCTTCCTAGGACAGAGGTTTTTTTCGAACCGGTGGTAAATTGAAAAAGTGTCATTCAATAAGTATTATTTATAATCTTAATTGAATAAAAAAGTTTCTGTTCCGTGCCAATTGCACTTAGATTAGGGAAATGGTTATAATACCTCGTACATCTATTTGTCTTAATATAGACGCAACCATACGTGTCGTTAATGTTCCATTGTGGCCGTGAACGTTTAATAAACATGCAATTTATATTGTCTTGTATAAATTGCAAAAATATAAAGAATACTCTAGTAGTTTTCACAAATAATTGAAACTTACAAACTAAACACCATTAATATACAAGTTCTAACACAAACGTTTATATAATCGTAAAACAACTAATACAGCTAAACAAATTCGGATTAGTTCAGAACTAGTTGTTATGTTAATTAATAACCTACTATTGCTATAATTGATTAAAATAATATGTTAATGTTACTGACATGTTTAAAAAATAATGTTTCATTTTAAAAAATAATGTTTCATTTTAAAAACAAAACTTAAACATGTATTGAGCACAATCATGAGTTGCGTGCCTTGCTGCCGAGTGATAATACTAGGTAATATTACCATAATATTACCTTACCAGGCAGACGCTGTTCTGCCCTTATCGACGACCTTTTGTTATGTCCTATTAAAAATACTTAAATTATAAAAAAAATTGTGGGTCACTCATGGGCTAAAAAAACTATCCTATCTCTGAAGTTGGACCAAACTGCACACGGTGTGCAAATTTGGTTAAAATCGGTTAAGTAGTTTAGGAGTCCATCGCGGATAAACAACGTGACACGTAATTTATATATAATAAGATAGCATTGTATTGTCATAATCATGTCTTTAAAACGTCTTCATATTTTCAACTTATGCAAACCCGTGAAGTGTTTGAAAACTGAATTATGAAACTCCATTACGAGTTAAAAATTATTTATGTTCGATTTTTCATCAATTTAAAATATGGATCTGAATGGAAATGTCCCGACGTCATAACTTTAAATAAAACCACTTAAGAAAATAAAAGAAATAAGTAGGTTTATCGCACAGTAACCGGTATATTTTATCACCAACAATATACTTTACTTATAACTGGGATTCTATAATTTATGCAATCAACGGAAAAAAACCACACGCGTGGCACTTTAGCAGAATTACATAATATTCAACAGTTGCCAGACACATGAGCTGATGTTTCTCGCTCGATTACACGTAAAGCTTTTGAAATGGTATGCTATAATATATTTATAGTCATTCAACACCTCACACCAGCCACTGTAAATAGAATAGAATTTTGCTGATCGAGCTGTTTCACAGCATAGTCCACGGCACAACTGTATTGAACAAGGTCGCCTCGTTCATAATTATACCACAAAACAATCACAATGACCTGTACCGATGATCCGTTTACTGTTTCAAATCAAATACAATTGTTCTATATGCACCAATAAACCGTTTCCTAATATCGTTTAGAAACTCCAAATTTTTTATGTATTTAAAAAATTTAAAAAGACAAATTAAAAAAAGAGTAAAATAGTAATGCAGTTCATTACTGCTTTGCAGCAGATTTAGGTACGAGGGATGGCATCTTAGAATAATTACGCATATTCTAAGGATAGTACTTACCCAGGTGGGCACCTGAAAGGAGTCCTACCATATAATAACAAACACACTAAAACAAAAAACTTATAATATTACAAAAAAGTACTTAAAATTAAAATGTTGATGCTATTCAAATCATTATGAATTGCAACAGGCCGGTCATGCAGCTTGAAGAGCCGACAACCGATGTGGAAGAAAGGTTCTAGAGTGGCAACCTCGTACTAATAAGCGTTAATTAGGTGGGTCGTTATTAGATAACATGACGAACTGGTGGCCCTTTTGAGGTATTCCTTGGGAAAGGCTCATGCTCAGCAATGGACTTGTAAAGACTGTAATGATAAAAAGGAAACAGTGCAAATTTTAATAAAAATTCTAAATAGTTTTGTTTCTTAACCATGTAAGCCACGAATGAATTCAGTCATCATGATGATCAAAATATAACTACATACTTCAACTCCCACCATGTCACTGTATGTACCACAGTCACTGGTAGCCGATAAAGTATACCAATTTATTCATTCTAAAAATCCAAGTGGAATTTCACAGACTACTAATGTTTTTGTACGTTGTAGAGCCACGCTGCAGCTATATTATGGTTGTAACACGAATGGGTCGGCTCGGCCGGGGAAGGACCACGCCCTCACGGAATACCAGCTCTATGCCGCTATGTTTCGTACGGTGAGTGTAAGAGAACCAGAGGCCCTTTTTACAGGAATCAAATATTCCATCTTAGTCGTCAGGGTTGGTAAAGCATCTGTATTTTGATTTCTAATCGATGATAATTGTAATTTGTCTATGGACTACAGCATCCACTTAACATCAGGTGACTGTGTGCTCGTTTGTCACCCTTTTTCTATTAAAAAAAAACATAACATTATCAGTGCGAGTGTAGCACTCAACCAGCACGGTGTGTCGAGTTTTAGATAATTCTTACAAGTAATGCATGTTAGTTTGTGTTTTTATAGAAATGAGTGTGACTAACAAAATATATAGACCTAGTATCGAATTAACCTAACAACAAAGAAGGCGACTGCACATGGACCCCGCGGTCTTAAAGAGAATTTATGCGTCATATAGGAAGTTGGAATAAGGAAGAGGGGCCGGACACTAGCATTGACTTGAGACCTCTACGTGGCTAAATCTCTCTCTGTTCGACTCTGTTAAGTTGTATCCCCTCTACTAAGAATCAAAATGCAAATGCACTGTCGCCCATGAAGGCCAAGATGGAAACCTCCTTATCCTTCTGTTAATAGGATCTCCGGCTCTCGTCATCCATCATACTAACAACATCAGCATTATGATGCCATTTTACGCTAGTTTCTGTGTAAGCTTGGTATTTCGAGGCGACCCATTGGTACTGCGGCCATAATAACCTACAGTTTTGCTTTATTACGTTTTAAAATATACATTTCAAATTAAATAAACTCTTATTCATTCATTAATATGACGAGTAGTTACTTTAATTTTTAACACCCACGGAATGTTCTTTAAATAGTTCCAGTTATTTAGTTCGACAGTACACATGATCAACACTCAAATGAATCCGCGCACGCAAGAAGGCTAGAACCACAATTAGATGGGCACCGTTTCAATCAGCGGCGATACGATACTGATTAAAGGTCAATCGGGCCAGAGTTTAACGTAATCATCGACTGGCAACATAATTGTCATTGTTAACCAGCACGATCTTTGTGTGAATAATCAATTGGGAAAATAAGCATATCCGATTCACCAGCACTGTACTTATAAATTTAGGCAAGTTAGAAAAATCATTGGAGTCATCCATAGTTTAGGCTTATAGGTTCCATGAATAGGCCGTACGGCCTAAGTGAGTTCACAAAATGTTATTTAAATGTACCTAAGTATCCAAAAGAACAGGTCTCACAAGTAGGGTTGTCACCCGTACTAATACAGTATCGTACTATTATAGAAAAATAATATAGTACAAAAATACTGTGTTTTATCCCTATTTTATACTAAGTGTGATTAAATTTGGAACAAGTAAGTTTTACGGAATTTTTTTCTTCATGAATGTAAAATTGAAAGAAAAAAGAAATAGAGTATGTATTATGTAATTTAATTAAAAATTAATTGTTAATTCATTTTGATATGAATCTTAAATTGCTCAGACTTCTATAATTATTTTAATCATTAAAGGCCAAAGCAAAGAGCAATAACAAATATATATAGAAATATACAGAAAGGAGAGCAATTATGGATTGAAAATCTGCAATATAGTTATAAAAATAAATGTGTACATTTTTATCTTGAATTTCTCAAAAGTACTATTTTTTAGATCGTTTTTTAGAAAGATACTATTGTATTTATTAAAATATAGCTGGCAACCCTAGTCACAAGTGAAGACTTGTTAGGTCCAATGACTGGCCTTTACGAAATGAAAACATTATTCGCTATAAAATTCATTAATTTTTAGAATACTTATTATTTATACCAACAGATACATAATTAATAAACAAAAACGTCGTTATGTTATCTTGGAAAGAACTTCTAATTTTATTTTTTCTTCATTGGTTACAGGGGTGCCAACGTTAGCGATGTTAAAGATTCAAAGCACCTTTTTTGAACATAATTGAAAAGATTATTATATCGTCTACATTGAAATCATATATTTTGGATTGGAACAAAATAAAACGGTGTAGCCATCGCAAGAGAATAATAATTGAGACTACGTTCTCATCACATTTGATATCTAACTACTCACACCCTGTCCTTCATTAGGGTAACAGTTTACTGATAGATGGAACCTAACACCGCCATATTATAGATTTTCCTAGCATTTTCCGTAGTCGACACTTATCGGATAATATTGGTGATTTTTTATATATGATTGGGTGATAAACAAGCACACAGTCCACGTGATGGCAAGTGGTTGCTGTGGCCCATAGACATCTACATCTATCCTCGATTACGAATTAAAATGCAGATGCG